ATCACTTCTGGTGCTTTTCCTAGGTCACCAAAGCTCACCCTTGAACTTTGGGAGCCCCTGTCACCCCAGTCAGTTTAGGGCAGCACTTTATGTTTTGTTCGCCTTTATAAGTCCCCACAGTATTACTCACTGCCAGGTATAGCATGAAGGTACAAGAATCATTCGAATGACGAAGAAATTCCTTCTTTTTTCAGATACTCTGTTATTTATAATCACTTTCCCTAAAACAGCTTTTAGTTCTTGGGTGTCAGTCAAAGCCATAAGGAATTATGTTAGTTATATAAGCTTATTCTGTAACTGAGCAAGAAACCAAGAGGCAGATATGGTATTAGATGTAATTCCTGAACATGATGGCTTTGTAGAGCCCCAGAAAGTCAGTCTTGGGAGGGATCACCCAGTCTGACCATCTTGTCAAATCCTCTCATTTTACAGGGAAGTAAAGAAACCTCGGATGGATAAAGTGACTGAGGTCAGGCAGCCAGCCGTCTGTGGCAGGACTAGGATTAAAACCTGTGTTTTGCTTTACATAAACCCTCCCAATATCCTCCATCTGCATTGGTCTATGTATTCTTTTTTTTTTTTTTAAGATTTATTTATTTGAGAGAGTGAGAATGAGAGAGAGAGAGTACATGAGAGGGGAGAGGGTTAGAGGGAGAAGCAGGCTCCTCGCTGAGCAGGGAGCTCGACGCGGGACTCGATTCCAGGACTCCAGGATCATGACCCGAGCCGAAGGCAGTCGCTTAACCAACTGAGCCTCCCAGGCGCCCGGTCTGTGTATTCTTTTTAAGCAATAATGGCAATTATCTGTTTCCTTCACCTCCCAGTTTCTGTCCTTAGACCCCAACACACTCCGGGGGTGGGCAAGAAAAGATAACAATGTAGCAGTTACCAAAATAGTACAAGGCCCTCTGCAGTTTGCCAAAAGCCAGGGAGCCACTGAAAAGAACACAATCAGCCCTCGTGGGTGAAATGTGTCCCCCCACTGTGGGTGGCAAATCCCAACTCCTGATGAGCCCAACTCAGCACACTAGACAAAGGACAGCACAGCACATACATGAACTTTTGCCACTTTTGTATTTTATTGTGGAACTGAGTTGTTTTTTCTTTTACATCAAATATCCTCAATGGAAGAGGGGATATTGCACACAAATATCATAAAAGCACTACATATTACTTTCACTGAAAACTAATTTTCTACATTAGATATGACTGGATAGGATAGAAGTGATGCAGGATTATAAGACATAATACCATACACAGCTGCAGACTGACACAAACACCATTCAGAACAAGAGAGAGGAGTGGAGGTGCTTCTCAGCTGGGCTCAAGACCACTTCTTTCCAGGACCGGAAAGAGAAGGCTGCATGCAGCGCAGGTAAGCACAACTCAGGATGGCTGCACGGTGTTCTCGAAAGGGCAGCCCGGTCTTGATGCCTCATCTTGATGGCTCCTGCTTGGGGAGCTCCAAACGAGTGCAGAGAAGCTATTTTTTTTTCCCTTCCTTTTCAGTTTTTGATGCTGCCTTTTAAATTAATAAAGTCAGATTTTTTTTTTAATAGTCAATAGTTTTAATACCAGGTGAGTAACCTAATTGCTTTCAAAGAAATGCTCATCCCTAGGCTGCTTTTGGTGTGTTGTTCAGTTGGTTAGAAGATAAAAGCTTACAGTTCCTTTCAAATGGAAATAAATCTTTTCTTCTAAATCTGAAGCACAAAAAAAAAAAAATGTTATTAATCTAACTCACAATATCATTACCGAGCAAGAACCTCCTGTGACAGGTGACTAAAGAGAGGCAAGAAAAGCAATTTCAGAATTGTAGAGCAGCTCCTGAGAGCTGAAATTTGGTAATAGAAAGAAAATGGAAGGTGGTAGAATTTTCATTAGCAAATGATTGAATCTTATTAAATGAGTATTGAGAAGCTCCTAAACTGCATAAGCTATTGGAGACACTTAAAACATTCATATACACTGGGGAAACCATTCACTAGGATATGTAAGGTTTAAAAAAAAAAAATTTTTTTTTTTTGAACTCCATGGAAAATGGTGTTGGGGGGAAGGGGTCATTGTATCCAGTCCCACCACAAGACTGAGAAAGCATGCATGGGGGTTGGGTTTTGAGAAAGGGGATAGAATTCGTTAAAATTGAAAGTGGAGGATCATCTCTTAACATTTAGTCTCTGTAGAATTTTGCTTAAGAATACTACCAAAAGTTCATGATCATGAGTGCCCTCTCGATGGAGTCTCGTCATTTAAACAGTGTAAATTCCTTTCACTCAAATATTCAATCTGTACAATTGGATTAAGTAATCAGTACGAATAAAGCTCCTAGAAGTCTGTGTCAGCCGCTAGCCCTCACCGTGAATGTACATGGTACATTGTGACGGCTGTTACTAAACTAACGGTGTACTTACGGCACTAGCAGAATTAGGTTAGTCACGCGGGTAGGAGAGGTGTCTGGAAGGACAGGAGCAACCTGCAACGCAAACGTGACCTTCCTGGTGTACTCAAGCCCTGCGGTCATCACTGAGAACGATGGGTGGAAAAAGGTACCGATACGTTGCGTAGGAAGAAGAGCCAGCTGACCATGGACAGCTTTTGTGTATTTTCCCGCTAAATCCCGTAGCAAAGAAAAAGCGAAAAAGGAGTAGGGTAGAATGGCTGTAACTGAAGACTGGCTATAATTCTCGAAAACGTTGGTATTTTTTTAAAACGCAAAATAATGCACACATTAAATAAATTTAATTTGGGGAAACTGGAAAATAATTCCATCTTCTATCGAAGAAAAATCAAGCAGAGTCTGGATTTGGCAAGAAGGCTGGAAATCAGTTTCCCTTCCCATGTATTACACGGACCTAACCAACTCAACCAACCGGTAAACAGTTATCATGAGTATCTTGGGTGGTCTCATAAAATAAGTTGGAAGTAGGTAAGTTCATACTCAATAGAATCCATTTTTGTCACAATGCGTTTTCCACTTTGTGTGAATTCTTTGTACCCTTTAGCAATGTGTCATTCTTAAGGACTCTAAAGAAATGGGGTAATAAATAAAAGCATTTCTAGAGAAGCCTAAAAAAAAATAGAATAATTTTTTAAAAAATTAAAACATTTGAAAAATGTAATTCACAGCATTAAGTAGACTGCATAGGTCCTCCGTGAAGGGACCCTGAAGAAGCATTGTTTAAACCCTCATAGTTAGCAGTGCAAAACATACACTTACCAGACAAAAATCAACTAAAATGTTAATTTTGAAATAAATAACTAACATATAAAATAAAATGAGGTCATTGTTCACTACTCCGTAGATCTTAAGAGTCTGCAGGAAACACAACGTGACAGAGCACAGCACAGTTGTCACTGAGAAGTTTGCCACATTTGAACACTGGGTGCATTGGTCTGCAACTTGAAACTTGACGTCAGTTTTAATCATGATCTGGCTTCCAGGTTCATAGTTCAATGACAACAATGATGGAAATGATCTCTGAACTCTACATGGATGAATCGTCGGAGATGGGAATTCATTTGCTCTCAATGAATTATTTCTTTTACCTTTTTTTCCAGAAAAGAAAATCCCAAAGCAAATTTTTGCTAGGGTTCTTTGAACTTGTCTTGGCTCTTTTACCTCATGGTTAAAGGTCTTGAAAGAAGGATGTAGAATACCACAGGGTGATACACTTGCAAAGGCCTGGGAAAGTAGCCTACCGTGCCATTCTGCCCCACTCTCAAATAACACATACTCAGATTTGTATGTTAGGGGAATCAAGGGGTGGGAGGTATCATCTATTCCTGGTAGTTATGGGTTTTAATAAATATTATTACTGCAACATCAGACTTCAATCTCACCAGAACTTCAAGAAACATTATTTTGTCTTATGAAAGACTTAAAAAAAAAAAAAAAGACTGTCACTTGAAATTTTCTTTGCATTTTCCTGTAAATGAAAACATTTGTTAAAAAGTTCATCTATGAAAAGTTCTCACATATCTAAAAACAAAAACAAAAAAACTCTTCTGTACACTTGTTCCCATAATTATGCTGAAAGTAATGGAAAATTTAAAAAGAAAAAAGAAAAAAAGCCAATGTAAGACAAAGGAAGGTAAATACTGTACACTTGTCGAGAACCTCTTCCACCATAAGATTCACTGTGTTCCCAGTTCTGATCATAGAAGCCATTTCGATCTTGGAACTTGCAGTAGTAGAGAAGCTTATGATCGGCTCAACTTGTTCGGCTGAGGGGCCACAGGTGCACTGAGGTGGTATTCAACACGCATGACTCAGCATCAAACCGCTGCACCAATCAGATCAGCTTCTAGGACCCCCTCCCACACGCGCACACACTTGCTCCTTTAACTGGAGTATCTATAATCCTACACGGATGTTTTATAAACTTGCGGTCTCATTAAAAAATAAGTGCATCAAGTATCTTTGTACATTCAAGTCACTTTCTAAGGCAAATTGTCTACCATGTGTACTCCCAACCGCTTTGGTATTTGCTTGTTAATTGGGATGGACTTGGGTGTTTCCGCATGCAGGTGAAGTGACTCCGAGTGGACTAACTGGGTGGACAAATGCTGGGAGCATGCCTTAGATCAATCTACTCGTGTGTCTGAAGAGTCTGAGAGTTCGGAATGGGGTTCAAACCACTCGCTCATCCAGTCTGCGCTCACTACATCATGTCAGTGTGCAGCCTTCAAACTGAAGGAGCTTAATTAAGGCGTGAAAATCTCACATGCCCTCATAACAAGTTTTGTTCTTTTTGTTTCCTTCCAGCTAACTTGTTTTAGAAAATGAAGACCCTTTTTGATGACTCAGACTGACACAAATTGAAAACTTGGCCTATGTAGACTACAGAATACAGACTGCCTGAGAAAATGCAGCCCCTAAGTGCTGGTTATTCTCTCCTCCTTACCCCACCTTGCTCTGTCTCTTTCTCTCTGGATATCTCACCAGCACTCTCTACCATTACCTCTCCTTCTCTTGCATTCTTTTCCTTTCTCATTCTCTCTCTCCTGTGTTCTCTCTCATTGTGCGCGTGCACTCTCTCTCTCTTTCTCTCTCTCTCTCTCTCTCTCTCTCTCTAAGACAAATGCCTCTACCTAGCAGAAGTCAGTTGGGTTTGCTAGTGCATGGTTTCCAAATGTTCAGCAGAGATGAACTGGGGTAGGTAATTTTGCAGTAACTTGAACCCTACTGTGGGAATACTGTTACTTCCCTTAGCAATCAGCAAAAACTAAGAAATATTAGTGACTTGCATCACCATGACACAGTATAGCATTTGGCAGGTAACAGTTCAGTGACTTATTTAGACGAATTGACTTTTTAGAAAAGGTGGTTTCAAATTGAAGAATTTCTGGAAATAAAGTTCAAATCCTGTGGTGTGGCTGGCCTTGGCTTTTACAGTTCAATCTTGCATGCAGGGAAGGATTCATCTTGCATAACCACTGTGCTGCTGCTTGCTAAAACCATGATGTTGAGGTCTTGTTGTTTCTCGTGGGTCTCTTGGTACCATTCCCTCATCACTTCTGAGTCATGAGTAGGGATCAGGGTTACCTGCAGGGAGACAGAAAGTAGCTGGTTAAGGGCAGAGCTAGAAATCTGATTAAAAAAATAAAGCAATAATAAGGTATGAATCAGACCATTAAAAGAAGAAGGGGAAAGAGGAAAATTTTCTATTTTTTCTCAAGAGATACAAAGGACTTTCCAATTTAATATATTTTCCAGAAATCAAAATAGAGCTGTAAAAAATTAAGTTTTTCTGAGAGAGTTAAAGACTGGAACCAAAAGCAGCTCATGACCAGTCAGTTAGTTCCTCTATATTCATCATCGAGTTTTCAAATACTCAGTGTTAAGAAGGGCTTCAGGTAAGGTGGGATTGCTTATATTTCCTTTCACAGACCTGGGCAATTTTGCATGAAAGATACTGGGTATTTAATCCAAGGAACTTTAGTTATCATTGCCGCTCAATTGTGTGTAGCTAATATTGTATCCTGAGAACAAAGATTTGTTATCTTTGTGTCTGTGGCTGGGATGGTAGAGTGGGTGGGTGGCTGGCTGGCTGGCTGGGTGGGTACTAGTTTGTATGGTAAAAATTCCATCTAATATTCATTAGGAGGCTACTGGGTGTTTCTCATGAGATTTAATATGATTACCTAGCAAATAATTGTATTTATTGTTATGCAAACGCAGTTTACTAGGTGACTATGCAAAACCACAGGTAAACCTGAGATAAGCAAAGATCATTCCAAAATAAGAGAGGTGGTTCATAGCCAGTTACAATGTGATGTTTGTGAGCTGGGAGGGTCCTGTTGGGGACCATTTTCAGTAATGCTCCTCCTGTGGGATTTCACCTGGCCAGGTGATTTTCTAAATGGCCATATTCCTAGGTTTGGTCTATTTGTGAAACACAAAGGAGTAAAGACAATTTGAGTAGCTCTCACATGGAAATAGCATTTTGATTCTTGGTATATTAGAGGGAAGGTCAAGTAATATTGGGCCCGTTTTGTAGACAAGTGAATTATGCCTAGGATGGTAAAGTGGCTTTCCTCCCAGACCGTGGTAGTGGTGGTACCAAGAATAATATTCTAGACTGTCTTCCGTGTGTGAAATCCACTTTGTCCTCAGGATATTTCATGTGGGAGAGACCCATGGGGCACCTTATGCAGACCCACAATCACAGTGGTGCCTCTTTAAACACGATTCCCTCCCTCGGCCTCTGGACATAGCTCCATGTGCAGTGCAGACACTGTCCTGGGGCTCTTACCTGCATGTTGCTGCCCCACTGGGCTTTCCCTTCCAACAAGGCATCCAGGACAGCCCGGCTGGGCTCCTCAGCAGCAGGGTCATTCCCACTCACCACGTAATAGGATGACCTCACTCTCTTGAAAAATTCGACATCAACATTCTTACTATTGCTGTGATTGGGGATATAGCACAGGTCCAAATACACAGGGGGGCCTGGAGGCACAGCTGAGGGCTTGGGAGGCTTGGTGGTTCCTGGTCCTTCGGTAAACAAACAAAGAGAAAAGCCAGGGTCACAGAAATGCGAAGAGACTCACTGGTCCGGTACTCCTTTCCTACCCATCCCCAAGAAGGTCCTGCAGGATATGCAAAGGGAGCATTTGGGCATTTCTCTCTCTCTCTCTTGTGAAGGGCAACTGGAGAAAGCATAACATGGTGGTTTACCATCTCAACAGGAGAAGCAAAGAATGGGATGATTCTCCTTTGTGGACAACCCCTTAGAAAGAAAGAGTTCCAAGGCCTTCCCAAAGGATGGAACTAGAGAGTAATACTCCTCCTAAAAGAGCTGCTAGTGTGCATCCTAATTTGAAAAGTGATCTAAGAAACCGATTTTGAAAGTCAAAAGGAAGCCTCTGCATTTGGCAAACCACAATTAAGCAATGTTAGTAATTCACGTTATGATCTCATGTGACAGCAACTCTGCTCACAGCTGAATAGTATACCCCAACATCTGACTTAGTAAATGGTTCAGATTTTAACCTTCTATGATCTCCAAGGCCCCCAGAACTCAGCGTTGTTCATAAACTGATGAAACACTATATTCGGTCCTAGCACAGTACTCTGAAAAGTGAGACATGTCTCCCTCGGCAAGGCTGGCTACCAAACTTTGACAAGAAGGTTCAGCAAGACTAGGCTTTCTCTCGCCAGTCAAGACATACCAGACTGGGAAACACTGGCAGTCTAAATTAGAAAGCCCAGGCAAAGTCAAGATTCAGATTAACCCCAAACTTTCCTGGCACCTTCTCTGATGAGATGGCTTTCTGACTTGTTCTGGCTAGAAGGTTTAAACTTTCTGGAACATTAACAGAACTGGCATTCTAAGGCAGTGGTCCTTCAGCCTAGCTGTATAATTAGCATCACCTAGCAAGCCTAGTACTGATGCCCAGACCCCACACCCCAGAGTCTGGCTTCACTGGGCTGGGACAGGGCTTGGGCACCACCGTCTTTCAAAAGCATCCCAAATAATGCTAATGTGCGGTTGGTTTGAGACCACTGCTATAAAGTCATTTAAAATACCAGCTGGATCCTACATACGTAATCGTCTTCCCTTTCTCCATAGGATAGTTAAAGACTGTCAACCCAGAGTTAAACCACCAGTGAATTCCTTCGATTGTCCAGTTTTACTTTTAGAAGGAGTGGGGGAGTGAAGACAATCAGCCAAACTGATATTTGGGTAAACTGACTCATTTTAATGAATAACCAGCCATTTTAATAAATCTGAGCTAAAAGCCCTCAAAATGTCCATACTTAGGTGTACCAAAGAATTCTGATAGCGTAAGTTTATTAACTACAGTTCTAACAATTAAAAATGTCCACAATTTTCCCTTGTGCGCTAAATCACTACCATCAACACTAAACGAACTGAGAGAACTGACAGCAATCAATCCAGGTTTTTTAAACAAAAATCAATAATGCAGTTGTGTTGTTTTAGAAATCTGAAAAAGCATCTTCAAAGTAAATTCAAATGAACTCATCTTTATTTATTACTTGGCCTTAAGAATATCTCTTTAAACGACGCACAAAAAATGTTTTAAAAACCCCATTGTGTGGGCTAGAGTGGCTATATCTGGCAAGTTTGGTAGTGAGTTTCAGTTGGTTTTTATCTGTTTGAAACGATGTCATGTTTTCTCCTAAGTGCAGGCCAGCTGCCAACTCTTTCAGACCAAGAGGTTAATTTCTGGTGGTTTTCCATTAGTTCTAAGCATGAACAAATCCAGTTTGTTTTCTGCATGCATGTACAAAGAGGAAATGTGATGAGAACTCGGGCTTGAAATTGATCCTCCATGCTGCTTAAAGTAAAGCTTGGCAGCTCTAAGTGATACTTCCTAAAATGCACAGAACTTGAGAGGCCCAAGGTTCATCTACCAGATTTTTCCCTAATAAACGAGGAAATGTTATTTAAATTACTTTTTGCTTTACACGTTTGGGTCAATTTATATTACTTTGTGAATTCAGGTCTGAAATCCCTGAATAACTACTTAAAGCAAATAAAATGTATTAATGCAAATCCCTATGATTGGTTTGAAGCAAAGAAATGAAGCTGGGCGATCAGAGACCTGTTCCATCAAAAACCCAGGTTATTGCTGGGTTTTTGGGAATTGAATAAGGGAATTGGGACCAAAACAGAAATGATCAGAAGTCAGAGATACCTCCTTCTACCAACTGAATTTCAACTTGGAATAGAATCCTGACTCTCTGTTAGTGAGACCGTGGCAAAAGAGGGGGATAAGAAGAGCCTTCGATGTTTTTCTCTCAATTTGTACTGGTTACTGGTCAACTGAAATTATGATATTCATTGGCCAATAAGAAAGCAGAGCACTGCCTTTAATGTGCATGTCACTCTAGACTGGCGATTTTTTTTAATTCAAAATTTTTCTAATTTTTAATTTTAAATGTTATAACTTTAAATTTGAAAAATGTTATAATTTTACTTAAACATTTTTTCATAAAAGAATTGAATCTAAATCTTGGGCCTACACTGGTCACACTAGGCTTGGCTTGGCACTCCAGTGCTCCCGAAGCCTTCGGGAGCTCCCGGCCTGTGTCACCTTAGCTCGATTCTGAGGCCAAGTGTGACTGAAGCCAATGCCAACACAGTCTTCCAGGGGAGCTTGAAACACACATCCCTAGTTCTCAAGATTTAGAACAAGGCTGTGGTTGCTGTGTGGCCGAAGGGAGCGAACCCAGGAGATCAGAGCTGCTCTGGGCAATGTGCTGCACCACCCTCAAGCCTGCGGCCACGCGGGACTAACACCCACACCTCTCGGCAGAAGAGACTAGTAAAAGGGAAGGGACTGTTGTATTCTCTCATCTTCCCAGTACCAAGTCACATGGACATTCAAAGGCTCCGGTCACAGTGGAACAGCTGTGACCTGTATCAGGGTGCCGGCATCTTCCACCTACCTGCAGCTGCCGTCTTTACCGATTTGGATGTGGAAGCGTTGGCGGCATTCTTGGTGTCCTTGTCTTTCTCTTCCCCACGTGCAGCTTTGACCTCAGGAGTGGTAGTGGTTTTTGTTGCTTTTTCCACAGATTCCTTCTTCTTAGGAGAAGCCACTCTGGACACCTTATCTGAGGATTCTTTCAAGCCCGCTGGTTTTGGTGAAGCTGCAGAGGGCTTCGACTTCCCATCACCCTTTTTGACAGGTGATGACGATTTGGTCTTTGTACCTGGCTTTTTGGTTTTGGTCTTCTCTTTCAGGTCTTTCTTCAGAGCTTTGCCCAGGTTCTGCTCAATGGCCAAGGCCTCCGGGTCCATCATGGACACGTCAGGGTGGCGTGGAGAAGGGCTGCGGTCCTGCATGGGAGCTGGAGGTGGGTCCATGTGTTTGTATGTGACGGTTTTGTCTGTGGGGATGGTTTCTGATTCATCTTCAGAGTCGATATTTGCATCAGCTGTGATGGAAGGGCACTCTTCAGTCTCCGGGGGGACATCAGAATCTGTCTGGGACGGAGCTGACTCGCTGACTGAGGTGGGAGGGGTTTCATCACATTGTCGCCCCTGTGGCTTTCCTCCTGGAGGTGGCGGGGCTCCCCCCGCTTGGGTAAGGGGCTTCTCAGATTCTTCAGTTGGCTCTTCGCTGGCAAACCACTCGAGAGGATTGGGATTAATGAAGGAGGGCGAAAGTTCCGTCTTGGGATGCTTGTATTCACAGGAGGACACAAGGCATAAGTCCACGTCCTGGCGAGCCTCTGAGGGGGACTTCTTTTCTGCAGCGTAGCACTGGTCTGAAGTCTCATAGGAATACATAGATGCTTGGGGGGTTCTCGTAATTTTCTCTGCCGTCTCATAACAGTACGTGGAAGCATCAGGGGCTCGGGTAGCTGTTGTAGATGTCTCATAGGAGAAACTTTCGGACTCAGGGAAACTGGCAATTTTCTCAGTGGTCTTGTAAGAGTAGCTAGAATCCCCAAGTGTGTGGCCGCCATCTTCAGAGTCATCATAGCCATTGCTGATGTCATCCAGGAGCCTTCTAGACGTCTCAGTCTTTTCATAGCTGTAACCGCCCCCTTCAGGGGACCGCATCGTCTTCTCACTTGTCTCGTAGCTGTACTCCCCCTCTTCAGGGGTCCGGGTGGTCTTCTCAGCAATTTCATAGGCATAGCCACCATCTTCAGGGGTCTTGGTGGTTTTCTCAATGGTGTCGTAAGAGTAGCTGCTGTCACACGGGGATTTTGTGGTTCTCTCTGTCTTCTCATAGTAATAGCCACTCACATCTGGGGGCTGGGTGGTTTTCTCATAAGACTCATAGTCGTAACCTTCTTCATCTGGGGACATGGTTGTTTTCTCAGGCTTTTGATAAGCATAGCTGAAGTCACCAGGTGTCTTCCCTCCACTGTCCTTCTCCACACCAGACGAGATCAAATCTCTGTTCAAGGCCAGCTGGTGTTGCATCGTATCAAATAACATCGAGGCACGGAAGCCATAGGGCTCTGCAGGTGCTGCATCCATCGATGGAGGGGAGGAAGCGTGGCAAACTGCTATGTCCTCTTTGACGGCCGAGGTAGAATCTGAAAAGCTAGGTGAATATAAAGGAGAGGACTCTCTTGGGGTGAGTGGAGAAATATCAGATTTTGGTGAGAGCTTCTCTCCTTCTAGACTTTGCACTTTTTCTGAGGTGAGTGAGGCATATAAGGATATATCTCTGGGAGGAACGACGTCAGACAGGGTGTCTTCTTGGAGAGGAGACGCTATCTGAGAGGGAGTATGTGCTGAAGAGGTGGATGGGGAGGCCTCAACCTGAGACACTGAGATGAGCTCAGAAAGATCATTATCTTGGGTGTAGGACGGCTCCTCCATTGGTGGTATCTTATGTGATAAACTAGAGTCCTGCATGTCAGAAGGACTGTAATCCACTTCAGTGGGCCCATTTTCAGTGATGTGAAGCATACTCGCACCCACCGTAGGGTGATCTGGAGACTGTCGACTAAAGTCCATAGCAAGGGAATGCTCAGGGGATTCTTGGCCAAATTCAATAGACATTGAGGACTGTTCTGATCTGTGATCTTGGACTGGTGTCCTGGATTTGGCTGTTTTAGGGGAGAAATCTGGTGGAGAAATTGACATTGGTCTTGGACATTCTTCTTTAGATGGAGACATTTCTGTTTCCTGGAAAGTAGTAGGCGTTTGCACAACAGACACTGAAAGGGAATCATCTACTTCTGTGGAATGTGGGGAGCCAACTTCGGCATGCAGAGAAGGAGACACGTCATCTGTTGTTGGCTCTGGAAATGAGCTTGTAGCCACGGAAGCTGTGGATACTGAGGCCACACCCTCCATATGAGAGTATGTGTCTTCTGCTACACCCTCATCAACAGGAGTAGCCGACTTGTCTGAGACAGTGCCTTCAGAAATGGACATCTTAGTGTCTTCCTTAAAAGATCCAAACTGACTGACATCTATTTGTGTAGGAGAAACATCTCCTCCTAACTTCCTCTCATCTAAAGCCAGTCCAGATTGAGAACCCATGGCTTCGACATCGTCAGTTTTCTTTTCTTGACCAAAGTCTTCCTTTATTGGTATAAAGTCTGTGCTCTTCCCTTCCTCTTTGTCTTGGAAAAGACCAGCAGAAGTTATGTCAGAAACTGGACTTATTTCGTCTGGAAAGCCGTGTCTTCCATTCTTTCCTTCAAAGGGGCTTTCAGCACCTCTATCAGCAGCCTTGTCGTCAGCACTTAGAAAACCTTCATATGCAGACTCGGATCCAATTAGGGGAGGGCTCCGTAAAGGAGACAAAACTTTTTCAATAGGAGATTCCGAGTCAGGCACAGGTTCATCCATGGGGCTTATGGAAGCCCTTTCATTCTCATCTTTGGCATCACTGAATTCAAAACTCACGGGAACTGCTGGTGGTTTTTCAATTACTTCTGTGGGGAGGTGACTAGATTTCTCTTCAGTGGGAGACTGGTAGTAAGGTGTGTGGCCAGCGCTGCCAGTTACAGACTGAGATGGAGACACGACTTCCAGGGTCTTATCCTCAGGACTAGCACAACGTTCTTCAACTACTTCTTGGGTCACCTCAGGAGACACTGGGGCTGCTTCTGCCTCTGCTGAGACTTGAATCTCATTGGGCGTCAGAGAAAAGTTCACACTGCGTTCACCCAGGGGGGTCTTTTCTATGGGTGATGGAGGAGATGGGCTCAGGGATGGGCTCTTGGGTGGACTAAGTTTTTCATCAGAAACTGCTGAGATGGTGTCTTTGATCGTCAGTGTGGCACTGGCTTTCAGGTCTTTCTCTTCGGAGCAGTAAGCATCACGCAGAGCAGATTTGCTAAATCTGTCTTCCTCCATGGATGATGGTGGTGAGATGGTGGAGGCTGACGCATTGTAGTCCTTCCCATCTGTGGCATCTGTTTTTGATCCATCAGATAATCCATTGAGTGACGTAACAGCAGGTTTGCAGTATTCCTGCGAATACAGTGTAGACTCGTATTTGGTGATGTTTACAAATTCTTGAGATGGGGACTCTGTCTCTTCATTGTTGATCTCATCACTCATCACATCGCGAGGAGTAGACATCTCATCCATTGGGGTGGGCTCGCTGGATATCTCAATGGTAGACTGAGTGTAGCCAGAGGTGGCCGTGAATTCTTCAGGCTGGTCTTCTCGATTCTCCTCATCAGAAGCGGTGGCCTCACTCTCTGAGCCTCCAGGTAAAGTCTCATCATGAATTGAAGATGCAGGTTCTCGGGCAGGAGACTGGGCTCCTGGTTGCTTGATGGCTGTGGTAAGGAATCCATACTGATCCTCGACACCGCTAGCCTCCGCAGCCTTGTCAACCACGGCCATCACGTAATCTTCAGCTTCAGCTTTTTCGGGCTCATATTCTTCCTCTCTGGCATCCTCGGCTCTGTCCTCTTCATCACCCTCCTCCTCAGATAGTTCAGCTTCTCCTTTCTCCACTGCCTCATCCATGTCTTCTTCTGCTCTGTCATCTCCACTGGCCAGAGACCCCCTCTTCTCCTTGATATGCACATCTGCCTCAGCCTTGGCACTTTCCTCTTCCTCCACGAGGCTGTGCTTGGAGGTGCTCACACACACATTTTCTTCAACGTCCTCTTCCGGCTCCTCGGCCTCCTCAGTTTCTGCCTTCTCCTCATAGTCTCCAGTCTCTGAGGATTCTTCAAAACCGGCTCCTTCATCTTCATATTTTTCAATGTCGTCCACCCCCTGCTTCTCGACTGGCTCCAGCTCCTCGGGCGTTTGTTCACATTCGCCCTCCCCTTCAGTGGTGGTGATTCCCTCATCGGGAGACTCAGCAGGACCTTTGATGACTTCTGTCTCTTTCTGGATGACATAGGCTTCGACTGGCTCTGTTTCCTTCAGTTTCTCCTCATCTTCGATCAGCTCCAGCTGAGGCTTCATGTCTTTTGCCACATCGACCTCTTCGGCCTTTAACTCTTCAAAGTCCTTGGTCAGATCCTCAGGGGATGACATAAGGGACCTCTCGGCCTCAAGTTCTTTGGCAGGGCCGGCGCTTGCTATTCCAGCTGCGGCCATCACAGCCGCGGCCGCGGCCACAGAGCCAATGGCTGCGGCCGCAGCCTCCGGTGTCTTGCCTTCCTTCTTAACGACTTTAATCTTCCCCTTCTCCTTTGGCTTCCCAGCAGCAACAGAATCTTTTTTAACTGCCTCTTCCTTCTTGGGTACTTTTGGTTTTAATGCAGCTGGTTTTTTGGCTTCAGGTAGAGGAGTAGATGATTTCTTTGTGTCTTTAGGAAGTTTCTTAATTTCTTTTTTGGGTTCCTTTTCTTCCTTTTTAATTTCCTTCTTCTCTTCCTTCTTCACCTCCTTCTTGGCTTCCTTTAGTGGGGTTTCTTTCTTAACCTCTTTCTTGGGTTCTTTTTTCTCTTCTTTCTTGATTTCTTTTTTCACTTCCTTTTTCACCTCTTCCTTTTTGGGTTTTTCTTCCTTCTTGACGGGTGTTTTGTCCTCCTTTTTAGCCACTTCTTTCTTTGGCTTCTCCTTCTCCTCTTTCTTCTCTTCAGATTTTGCCTTTGTTTCCTTTTTCACTGTCTTCTCCTTGGCAACTTTGGGTTTGACATCTGTGGCGGGCTTTTCAGCCACCTCGGCTTTCACGGGAGTCAGCTCTTCTTTGCTGGGGACCTCCTTTTCGGTCACTAGAGGTTTGGTCTCTGTTTTTACGGGCTTGTCTTTTTTCACTGTCACCTTTTCTTTGCTTTCAACTTTGGGTGCCTTTTCCACATGATTAGCTTTTGCAACATCGGGGGTCTCTTCCTTAGACTCCTTTCGGACAGATTTGCTAGGAAGTGGCTTTGCGGCTGGCTTCAGACTTTCCCGGCTATCGGCTCTCTGTTTCAGTTTTACTTGTTTCACAGCTGGAGTCACCCCCTGGCCAGTTAGGTCCTTCTGGGTGGCCAGCGGCTGTTTCAGAAAGTCTAAATGTTTGAGCTTTTCCAGTCCTTCCAGGATATTGTATTGGGTGCTATTGCCAGGAAACAGGACCCGGATGATTTTCTCTGCAGGGTTTGCTGGATGCCACACGATCAAAGAGGAGACTGAAGTTAAGTAGGAAATTGGGATATCTATTTCTTGACCGTTAGGCAGGATTAGTTCAGCCTTGTCTTTGTTGGTGCCAGTCCACTGCTGCATGAAATACTGCATTTCCTTGCTGCTCTTGACTGGGTTAAGGACATACATCTCAAGTTTACCAACTCCCATTTTTTGGAAAAGAATGACAGGATCAATGGTATTGCCTACACTTCTGAAAAGAGGTTCTGGCTTCATGGACAATTTATTTAGGTACTGGAGAGTGAAGCAAGCTTCTTCTATGCTTCTCTTCATCTTGATGTTTGGCTCTGGATTTTTCAGATTTTCAGGAACATTGAGAAATACAACTCCTAAGTCAGGGGAGATGAGGTTTTTCATCCAGTCACTATTTGTGGTGGAGCCCTGGGACTGTTCTTCCTCGAGCTCTGCAATTTTCCGCTGTAGCATGCTGTTTATTCCAGGCAAATTGTCATCCCCAATGTGGGTGAGTAGGATGGAGTCCACTCGGTCCAAGTGTCGGATGAGCTTCCAGAAGCAGGATTTCCTTTCTGATCCTCCGTTGATGAGCATATTGAATCCATTCACGGCAAACAATGCAGAATCGCCCCTCCCTCCTGGAAAAATGTAACAACAAGGCTTGGAGAGCTTTAGGAATCCGCCCGATGTGGGAGGTTCTAAGATATCAAAGGGAGATGGGACTTCCACTGATTCTGAGAGATACTCGGTAAACTCGGAAAGTCCTTCCATTTCTGGCAATATAGAAGCTGAGTTGAGTTTAATATTGATGAAGTCTTGGAGATTGTGTCTGTCGAGATTGGAGTTCTTCCAGTCCCCTTCTTCAGGACAGAACAGGGTTAAGCTGGCTTTGTTGGCAGGATGGGTGGTACTCAGTAATTCCCCAATCTAGGAGTTAAAAAAATAATAATAAAGGAAGAAAGAAAAGGTTTAAGTGACTGTCATCACTGATCCATCATCTCCATGCATTACAGGATCATTGGGTGCACAAAGGGCTGATTTCAGAGATGCTAGTTGGGTAAAGGCAGAAATATTTCCATTCTGGTGGGTGAACAGCCTCTGTCCCAACCCTTCCTACTACTCCGTTCTACCTCAGCCACCCCTCCCCACCATGAGCACCTCCCCTGGGACCCCTCCAGCCTTTGTTCTTGCCCAGCAGTGGACCTCCAGACCTCTACTCCGGTTCTAGGCCCGGTGACCATCTGAATGATGAGTGCCTGTGCCACAGTAGTTATGAAGCACTTTGGATATCACCCCTGGGTGCCTGCTGTGCATGAATGCCCTTTACACAATCACAGAGGAAGCCTATGTGAGTCATTTCACCACTTACATAAAATGTTTTCCTTTACTCCACTGAGCTTGGCAAAAAGGCCTGACACACTAAAGGAGTTTAGATTTAGTGCTCCAGTTGTTGACTACTTTTAGAATTTGGTTAATACCAAAGAAAAAAGTTTGATGTGTTTTTCTTTCCCTTGGAGACAGGAAGTCCTAGATTGTATATCACTACAAAAAATTACTGGTTCCGGTATCTTTAAAACATGAGTGGCTCATCTAGTGGATTCTCTGCAAATACAAATACTCTGATTAAAGTCATGATGATTAAAGCAAATGGATAATTAATTATATGAGCAAGTGGCCAGATTTGTCCCCCATTGGCTCATGTTTAAATCCAAGGTGAGAAATTCTATTTTCTCATAACTCCTGCTTTTCTCATGGCAACCTGGGTGTGAGTGGCTTAGATCAAATTTGGCTCCAAACTTTTTCAGTGCATAGGATGGGAATGCAGAAGAGCAAATCGTGACCAAAACAGAGACCAGTGTTTAATGAAAGTGCTGTTTTCTTTCTCACTCCATATTATGGCCATATGTTTCATGGCCGGCTTAGTAAGCAGTGAGGGAGAATCGTGTCATCAACTCCAGTCTTCTGTCAGTTGCAGCAAAGCTCATAAATCAGCCCAGAGTTTCAAGGGGAAAGAGCTCTGTGTCTTTGATGGTTAATGATGAAAGGGAAAGCAAAGACTTCACTTGGCCTAGGCATCCCTGAGCCTAGGGATGAACTCTCACCTTCCAGTATTAGAATGGTTTCCTCTGTCTCACACCAACCTCCTAGACACTGACATTCCGAGGCAACTGGTGTGTGTGGTGTAGATGGGTAATTTATAGATGGATTTTCCTACCTTAGATTGTAGTAACATCTCCACTTTTGTTTTGTTAAGTGTACTTATCTTACATTTTGTGTAAAGGGTCACAAAATAGCAAAATAATAAGTCTTTGACTTTGCCGTTTTCCTCAGACTTAACAATTTCCTATGAAAAGGAGAAGAATCAACCATTTTAGAAGGTAAGAAAACTGAAAAAGCACTTCGGGGGCAGCCTCTGCTCAAATTGTCTGCTGACCAAAGCAAACATGAGCACCAAATAGGGTCTGTTGTCCAACAATTAGCATAGGCCCTCATCACCATTACTGTAGCACAATTAGGGCTCTCTCCATCCTCATTTTCACACCAAGTACATACACACTCTTCATGCTTTACAATACATTTTAGAGGAGAAATCTAGGAAAACGCAAAATGCTGAGTCTTTAATATAAGTGAAATTTCAAAATTAAGTTTAGTTCATTTCAGTTTTTAAAATTCCACCCTGAGGGCTGTGGCAGCTAAGGGTATGAGCCAGCTGTGTGTAGAGGGGATTGAATCATCAAGTTCAAGGAGAAGGTTAAAAAAAAAAAAAAAGAATTTCAGAAATACCTCCCTACTTTGCATCTTGTCACTTCCAGCTGGGAGGTTCCTATGAAATAAAGGAAATGTGACCCCAAAAGAAAGCTAGTTTGCACAGAATTTTGAGGAAGTCCAGGGTATTGAAAACCAGCAGAGAGCCCAGTGAATAGAAAACTATGGAGTACAAGGGAAAGCGGAGAAGAAGGTCAGCACCGCAGAGGTTTCTTTCAGAAAGGGAAAATCTGGTCTCTGCAGAAGCCACAGCATACTGAGCACGATGAGGCAGGAACACAGAGAGCAGGGCTGCAGAGAGGCCTTCACGAAGGACAGAGGGAACAGGAGGCATGGCTGCCACAGTCCTGGAGCGACACAGTGGGAAAAAAAGCCCCTGCATCCCCAACCCCCCAGTTCCCCGGGGCCAGCTTCCAGACCTGCGCACCAACACGCACGCTGGAGTGAGTGCCTCAGGCCAAAGACCAAGTCTGAAGAGCACCTACTCAGTCTGTGCCTATGCAACGCACAGGTGAGAGCAATGGGGAGGAGCCAGCCACATTGGCCTTGGCAAGGAAACTTGTGCGTACATCTCAGACTTGGAAACAGTCTTCCTCTAAAAGAGTTTGGAAATTATCCTCATAGTAAATGGTACTTAGTATAAACCATTGTAGTAAAAGTTCCTGAATAGGAGGAAACACACCCTCTGTATCTCTGTATCATTATGTGTGTTTCCCTAATACATCATCAGCTCCAGAAATGTTCATTAAACTTGGCCAATTCGATATGTACTGTCCTCCTGGAGTGGCTGCTTTGGAAGTGACCATGAGCCTGCAAATACTTCTCAAGCACACTGATTGCTACCCTTCCCTTGTTCTTAAGAATACAGATGAGAGACACGACTGGAAGAAATATTGCTTGGGGCAAAGATAGTCTTTTTTGTTAAAAATGTTAAAATTCTAATTAAATGCAGGCATACTGGAAGAGGAAGGAAAATATGGGAAATAATGACTTTACTGCAGATAATGAAGTAAGATTTGACTTTCTAAACCACAGCTTGCTCTAACTAGATTTCCTTTTTTGATTAGGTTAGTTGCTTGACTGATGCAGAAATACAGTGGACAGTGTATCTCTGGGTTTTAGCAAGACGTTTAATAAGATCTCTGAACAGTGTGATAGCAGAATGAGGTGGATTCATAGCCAGTCATATAAATCCTGTTGCTTAGTATCATCCTGGATGGAGGTCTGTGATGGGATGCCTCAGGGCCCATTTATGTCCTGTGGAGCACTGACTTGGATAAAAATGGCAAAGAAATGCTTATCAAATCTGCTGGTGGCATGAAAATGGGAGGCAGAGCAAAACGTGGGATGGCAGAATTAAAATATTCACGAAAGCTCTTGACATTGGGATGATGATGGCTAAATCAACTCTTAACAGGATGGCATACTAAAGGGATAAATGTAAGGTCCAATAAACCAGTGGGATAAAGCAAAGGATTGGGAGATGTGGCTTAACAACAATATTCATGGAAAAGACTCAGGGATTTTAGTTGATGGGCAAATGGATTTATCGTAAAGCTAAAGAAGCTCAAACTTCAAGGCTCCTCACTGGCATCGTCCCCTCCCTGAGCCCTGTACTTAACTGTGTACTGATAATTTTATTTTCTTTTTCTTAAAGGGAACCCCCAATTTTTGTAAATTATAGCACTCCTCAAAGCCTGCATCCCCTCTCCACTGACACTTAATTATGGATGTTGATGGTTAAAAGTTACTTTTAGACTTTCTTTATAGAAGATTGTATTAAAAACTACAGAAGTCAGGTTAGAAGTCCTAACCTGGTTAGTGACTCCTGGAGTATGGTATCCCATATGAGCCATGACATTAAGTTAAAGAAACTAGACCAAAACCAAACAGACAAACTGAAATTGCTGGCTCCTTCTCCTTGGCCATAACCTCTAAATGCTAGACCTGAGCCCCTTGCTCTTCAATACACTTCTCTCTCTAGATCACTTCATCGGCTTCCACATGTTTCCAGCCCAGCTCTTGGTTCCTTGAGCCCTTGACTCATGTATCTAATTGTCTGATAACACCAAAGCACTAAAACATGACGAAGACAGCTTCTCACTTTCTGCCATACCCATGTCATCCCTTTCCTGCCAACAGGTTTAAAGGAAAGTGACCAGAGAACATAAGGAACTTTTACTATCTTCTTTTATGAAGAACAGTGTGCAGAACTGAAAATAATCTGAAGGAAAAACACAACTGGCAGTGTTGGTGAAGGGTGTCTGAGATACCAAGTGGGAAAGGGAGCACATTCCTTCCTTAAAGATACAATGAGACAAAGAAGGAAAAACTTTCTAACAGAGAGACTGAAAACTGTCCCAGGAGATGTGATTTCACCATCCTCAGATTTCAGGAAGTAATGGGTTAGCCAGATGACTCTTCTATCTGTTAAGTTCTGGTTATGTAGTTGACCTCCAATGACTAAGACTCCCACAATCTAAAGCTCAAAATGTGTTGGTAATTGTACTTTTCAGTCCACTTATTTTTATCTATTTTTATTTAAAAAAATGCATCATTTTGTCTTTCCTAAATGGTGTTTCTGGTTTCCCTGGAGTGTCTAGGATATATCAAGGACTGGATAAAAGGAACAAAACTAAACACCAATGACCTTTAAGGTCCCTTTGTTTCAAACCCTTTTTCCAAGACCACAGTAGGCAATCATGGCTCTAAAAGGCTGGTGACCATTGGTCTAGTCCAGTGATTTCCAATCATGCAGGCTGAACTCGAGTAGCCTTGGAGGTAGGCAGATGACAAACTCTGGAGAAAGAGGGACAAAAGCCTTCATTCGTTTTGAAGTGGTAAAGATGGTACCCGCTGTGAGTGCACCCTGGGGCCCCTTCCTGCTGTGGGGAGCCAGGGCTATCTGCCTCAGGACCCAGCTGACATCACACCTTCTAAAAGTGGGGGCTTTAAACGCTAAGTGAAATGTTTCTTTTCCCTGTTTTTTATTCCCCCCAGTGGGTGGAGAGTGAAACACTGTTAAGTCACCTAGCCAGAGTTTTCGCAAAGCCTCCACGCAAGCCAAAAAAAGCTGGGAGGTTTATTTACAGCTCTTGCCAGCAATGACAGGTACAGAGACCTCTCTGTGAAGCCCAGGGCTAAGGAAGCTTAAATGCAGAAAGACAGATGGCCCTTTGCCACTCGGGAGGCTGAGAGGCCACCAACTCAGTAAGTTCTCAGGGCTTCAAATGGACATGGAGACTCCTCCTATGCACACATCCCTCAACCCCTGCATGTAGAAACCTGTGATCTGCCGTGGGCAGGCCCCAACCCGCCAAGCTGATAGCCCTGAATAGTCTAACTACTAAACAAATAAACAAAATGAAGGAGGCATGTTGTTTTGGAAAGGGAATTTTCTCAGCCAGGATAGATTCTCAAGCAGAAATAACCAAATTAGACTCTTCAATCTGATATTACCGAATACCACTAATGTCATATAATATTCAACACCTCACATGTATCATCAGTGAATAAGACATGTTCATTAGAAATAGTAATGACCCAGGTTCAATCCAGCTACTTTAACCATCTTTTTCTGGGGGGCATGGATGTGCTCCATTTTCCTACCTGCCGCTCTTTCCTGAGCCTTCTCTTTGTTGGGCTGTTCAAGCAGCCCGAGTTCAAACATCAGGACCAGGCATTAACAGTAAGAGCAATCAAATAATTAGACCAGGAAAAGTAAGTACAAATACTGAAAGAGAGCAGGGCAGTTCAATCCTACCAAAAGACCAAGACATCATTGGAGTACTCTTTCAGAAAAGAGGACACCTGGGTTTTCTTCTGGGCTCTGCCATTTCAAGTTTCTCCATTATTTTTGCCATCTCTAAAATACTGACTGTTCCAATCCCCCTCCACCTCCATCTCTGGCACATTAAGAATGGTTCAAGTTCACGATAGATGGGTGCCCCGAATTCTTTTGGTGATGAGTCGTAGAACTACAGTATGTTGGATCGTGCAGTTTTGCTTATTTCAGAGGAGGTGTGACATTCCCTCCCCTTCTCCTAGCCCCATCCTATGCTTTCAAAGTGGAGCCTCAGGCTACAACCATAACCCAGCAGCTCTAAAGCTTAGCTATTTCCAGACAGGAGCCCACCTCTTGATCGGTGAAAATCTCTATGAAGTTCTGGAAGGAGAAAGAGCCGGACTGGAGAATGAGCTCTCCGGTATTTTCAAAGCATTGCCCGGTCAGCACGAGCAGCTTGTGTCGGGCAGCATCTGTGATCATCAAGCGCACCTGAAACAAAGCACAGGGAGCAGGACATGAGCCACGTGCAACACTGCCCGCCATCCCACTCGCAGGACAGGGCTGGCCCTGATAGGGCTTGACACCCATCACCAACCAAACTCATTCATTTCCCCCGGGGAGGTGGACAAAGCCAACAACCGTGGTCATCTGGTCAACTGGCCCATGAATGCCATCTTCCATGTTCACGACGGCCCAACCAGTAGTGGTGATTGACCTTCTCCCCCTCGTTCCCTTGTCTTTGGCACAGCAGTCTCCACAGCTGTGTCTGCTAGCAGCGCACCGTCTGTGAGACTTAAGGATGTCTCACAGGCTGAGTCACCAAGTACAGTCCAGCTCCCCTGACTGCTGCCTCAGGAAGCACAGGTTTCCAACGAGGGTCCCTAGTCAGCCCCTCCCTTACAGGACCCCTTTCCTTCCAAGCCATCCAGCAATCGCTCAGCTCCAAACGCCGTCTCCAGTGGGATCAGCAAGGTGCCTGACATTGAACAGAAACAAAAGGCTGCCCCAAATGGGAATCTTTTTCTTTTTTTTTCCAAGTGGGAATCTTTTAAATAGAATTGTAAATGGTTTGCACGAAAGAACTCTCTGTTCTTGAAGTGGCAGGAAGCCAGCCTGTCCTTCAGCAGAAACACTGCTCCAAGCACCAAGGTATTCGTTCTGAGCACAGTTTAGTTCAGCACAAATTCACTGCCAGGCATCATGCTAGACACCAAGGGAGGGATACAAAAGTAAACAGGACATGATGCACGGCCCCCAAGAACCTCGTGTTCTAATCAAGGAAACACACATAAACCGAAATAATTGTTCCAGCCCCTTCTGCTCCACAAGCAAGCCTGGATTCCTTCAGGAAATTATTTTTCCTTTTCCATTTCAAGTTGTCTTTACTTCCTGATTCTGGTAATCACAGTGAGACTGCTAGCCCCCCATTTGCCTCAGCCTTGTGCCTTCATGGATTGTCAGAGAGGTCCTGCTGATCTGGGGCAGATGGAAGTGGAATCACAACAGGCTACACAATGACTGCCAAAAAGTGGAAGCGACCCAGTGTCCATCAACTGACGACTGGATAAACAAACTGTGGTGCACCCACACAATGGAATAGCATTCAGTCATAAAAAAGGAATGAAGTACTGATGCATGCTACAGGGTGGATGACTCTTGAAAACATCACGCTGAGTGAACTAAACCAGACACAAAAAACCACCTAGTGTATGATTCCATTATCCAAAATACTCAGAATAGGCAAATCCACAGAGGCAAAAGGTAGACTAGAAGTTGCCAGCAACTAGGAAGAATGGGGAGCGTTGGCTAACAGCTTGGGGTTTTTAAGGGGTGGCGGACATGTTTTGGAACAGAGAGTGATGATAGGCACACAACTTTGTGCATATACTAAAAACCAATGAATTACACACTTTAAAAGATGGATTTTATGGTATGTGAATTGTATCTCAATTTTAGAAAGAGGCTCGAAGCATGCGCCGAGGAGATGTTGTAGATAATGAAGGCCCCCCAGGGACTGTGGCAACATTAATGTCCAAGAAGCACTCAGTCTCAAAGGTGCTAACCTGCAATAAAAGAAGAGGAAAACGGAGCTACAGCCATTCCTCCTGCCTGGGGGGCCAGGGATTCTTGGCTTCAGCCAAGCTCTTATCTAACTGAAGTCTCTGAAATACCCAGTTATTCTTTTTTGGCAACAATTTCAAATGACAGTAATAATAATATTAATAAGAACAACCAACATTTATATTTCAGTGGTTACACGCTATGTGCTGTTTTAAGCATCTGACACTTCGAATCACATTAGAAGCACTGTTGTGATCTCCATGTCACAAAGGTAGAAACGGAGACAGAAAGACCATAAATAATTTGCCCCAGGCTACCAGCTAAAAAGTGTCAGAATCCAGGGAGTCTGGGACCCAAGGCCATGCTCCTGATCGCCAGGCTAGCCTGCCTTTCAGTGGGGATTATAGGGGGTAAGCCAAATGGCTCTGAAGGGAGCTTGCCTCTATGCTACCATTTTTCTCCAAATTTGTGTCCTAAATGTCCTGGCCTAAGGGCTTGTAGTCTATTTCCCCTGCTACATCCCAGCCAGACACCACCCAGCAGCACACCCTCCATAAATACCCAAGATTTCAGATCCCCTTGCCTGCATAAGATATCAATCACAGTTCTGCGTAGCATCTTCCACTTTGTCCTTACCGGGAGGGGCAGTCTGGGGTGGCACTGAGGTAGAGAACCGGCCCCTGACTGGGGGTAAGGAGGTGTCCCCGGATCCAGAACTTCTCTCTCCGTGTCCTTCTCCTGCCCCACCGGGCCTGCCCCTGCCCTCCCAGTCACTGTGTGACACCGCGGGGCCAGACGCTTACCTCAGTGCTGACTGCTTCATCTGAGGGGTTGATCAGGACCACTGTTTCTAAAACGTCACTTCGATGATGAAGGATCTTTTGTCCTGCGGACACAAAAACACAGACAAAAAAGGGAGACCTTTAGCTTTTCCCAACTGGCACTGGCCCGCTGGCTTCAGGGACAGCAGAGCTCCCGCTGTCCTGATGGGCACACAGCACAGGGGTTCTCCACGCTATCTTGGGAAACACAATCGGTATTGCGAAACGAGAGTGCAGAGCCTGCAGGTTACTCCCGGAGCGGGGTCCGGGTGTCTGGGGCTCCTCATGCTCTTGCAGTGCGTGAGTTTTCAGGCCTGCTCGCCAGGCTGCCTCTCTGCGCGCCTTAATGGCAGTTTTCATGTGAGACGAGGGGCGGATGCCAGGAAAACTCAACGGGGCTCTTGACATTTCCTTTCTCATGGTAATCGGGGATGTTTCCCCGCATCAGCCTTTCTTCTGTTGAGAATGGTGCTGAGATTAATTAGGAGCTTGATTGTGAAATGAATGACATCCAGAAAGCCTGGCTAACAATTACCCAACAACCAGAATGGCTGTCTGAGGCGGGCTTACAGTCTGCTGGAGTATTTTTTAATTAATTCACTTGCTCAGAGAAAAGTAGAGAAGCTGTGAGCAAATGAAGAGTGGAGAACAACTCTCCCGCCGGACAGTGTGGCCAAATTGCCTGTAAAGACAAGCGAAATTGATGCAGAAAAAAAAAAGCAAGGTGTCGTGGGGGCGAAGGAACGTGTCTAAGGAGGGCTGCAATCCTGCAGGGCCTTTGGCTCCACATCCCTGATTTCCCACACCTTCAAGTAAAACGTTTTAGGGGCATCTGAGTGGCTGAAATCACCTCCAGATGAAGTAGACTGAGGCCTGTGGATGACCCACGCAAACTCCCCTTTCTTGGACAATTAAGACGAAACATGACTGGGTGTATGAGGGGCCAGAGTGGGCAAGATAAGCTCGGCCAGTTCAGGAGGAAGAGAGAAGTGGGCTGTTTCCCAGACACGTGGAGAGGAGACACCACACCAGAGGGGACAAGAACGTGTCTGCTGCTTGGAAGTACAGGGAAACGGGTGACAAGACAAAAATGGAACAGGATCTGAGGAGAGGAATACCAGAGGACAGAATGACCTTTCCAGGAAAATAGCTGCCAGTTCTTCAAAAAGCTAAAATAGAATTACTGTAATGGCCTAGCACTTCCATCCTCGGTAGATTGAAAGCAGGGACTTGACCAGATACTTGTAAGCCAAGGTCCTCCGCAGCGTTACTACAGTAGCTAAAAGGAGGAGACCACCCAAATACCCACTGATGGGTGACGGGCTAAACAAAACGGGGAGAGCCGCACGATGGAGTGCTCCCGGGCAGAAAAAGGAATGGAGTTCTGATTCGTGCAACAACACGCGTGAACCTTGAAAAAAGGATGCTGAGTAAAATAAGCCTACACCAAAGAACACATACTGTATGATTCCAGTGACATGAAATATCTAGAAGAGGCTAATTCGTAGAGTCAGCAGATCCGAGGTTACCAGAGGCCAAGGGAGAGGGGCTGGAGTGTTACTACTTACTGGGCACAGACTTTCTGTTGGGGATGAAGGAAAAGTTGTGGACATAGAGATCATGTTGTATAACATTATAAATGCAACTAGTACCACTGAACTGTACATTTAAAAAGGGTTAAAATGGCCAATTTTGTGTTTTGTATATATTTTACCAGAGTTTAAACAAGACCACAGAAACAATATGCTGAAATACCACCACCACATCATCAAACCCATTCTCCAACATTGTCTGATCTTTCCCAAGAGCTAATATTTACCCTACATCAGAAATGAAAGAAGCCCACACTACACCATAATGATGCCGGGCACCGTTCTGAGCACCTCACCAGTACGAAGTCATTGAATCACCTGAAGAGCTCTATGACAGAGGTACTGTGTTGTCCTCTCTTACTGTGGAGGACAATGAAGTCTGCAAAAGAGAACTAACTAGCTCAAGGTCACGCAACTAGGGAGTGTTTGAGTCAGGACTTGGACCCTGTGCATCTGGCCCCACAGCCCCCAGCTACATTGCTCTGCAGGGCTAGTCGCTGGGACTAAGGTTTGGAAAAACAGGCGTGGCAGACAATGAATGCCAAGGGAGAGCTAGGGAAAAATCCAAAGGAATAGCAGCAGGGATGTGCTCAAAAGAAGCAAGAAGCCAGAAAGCATTACAAGAATATGGGCAAAAAGCAAAAGAAGTCAAATGTGGCAGAAAACCCACACAAAAGAGGGTGAAATTAAGAGAAGGTGTGTGATACTTTACACCAAATGCCTGAAAATGAAGAAACTCCAGAACAGAACAATGTCACAGAGCTTAAGCCGACAAAGGACTGAGCTTCCAGAAAAATAATTCAACTAAGCCATGAGAGAGAATGTTTATTTATTACGAATACCAAAATCTATACTTTGTTGGGCATCGTTTTTTGGCGTGGCTGGTTTTGCTTTTGACAACCGTATGCATTTAAAGGTAAAGCAAAAGAGCATCAAACTGAGTAAGTAAATGATAAAATGACAATCAGCAAAACACAAGAAACCATCCCCTTTCTCGGTCCTTTCGTCAGTGGCCTCCTTGAAACAAAGACTGTTCGGGTGGTTCACTAGCACTCAGTTGACACGAAATGGAGCAAAAGCTTAAGCCGAGGAGAAATGAATGGTCATTTCCTTGATCGTACTTTGGACGTGACTGTTTTCAACACACAAAGCCTCAGGGAGCATCATGCCAAGATATGACTGCAGTCCCGGCTCTATGCTGTAGGAACCCACAAAAGTAGACTTGAGCAAGGTAGGCGCAAGTGGCTCCCTCCGCAAGAGGTGGTAAAGGAATCAGAGCCCCTTCCTTCCCTACGTGATCGACGCGGCGCCTGACCCTGCTAACCCCAGCTTCCAAATGCATATCTAAGCAACCAGCCCAGTGCAGCCCGAGCCCTGCCCGCCCAAGCAGGCCCTTCCCCAGACACGTAGCAAGGACAGTGCTGCCCAGGCGCTCTCTGGCGGGGGGCTTCTTACCATCCACGAGAAGCTCCCTTCCTCTTTGGCTTCATCGCTTGCAGACACGACAAATGCCATGTGACCTCTGCCGTCTACCTTTCCTCCCTCCAAGTCAATTTCAGAACTGTTTGCTCAGGAATTCAACGAACGATGTTCTTTCTGTCCATCTTTGGACACACTGAGAGCGGTGACACAGCCGTGCACCACGATGCCATGGCTGCTCCTTCAACAAAAGCCTTTTTATAGGATTGGATTTAATGAAGGAGGGGATTTAAAGAGAGAGAGAGAGAGAGAGAAGCTTCAAGCTCTTGTCACAGCCAGGCTGTGGACAGATTCTTTCCCTGGACTATGTAACTAGGGGCTGGGGTGTCCTGGCATCTGGCAAGCGCAGGGGCACCCCCGCCCTGGCACCCCAGAGGGAACGCCAGCCCTCTGGGCCACAGGCGGCTCTAGGCTCTGGCGGCTGGGACGCTTGCAAAGTTGCATATTTGGGGAATGTTTCACACTGGGAAACAGGCCAGGCATTCTGAAGGGGAGGCCACCACCCTCGCCTGCAAAGGTCTCATTCAGTTGCTTCAGAAAAGAAGTTCCCAGGAAAGAAAGACAACCCGGTTGCAGCCTTTCTCTCTCCCATTATAGTCTGCATTCTCCAGAAACCGCTCACAGCGAAACCATTAGGCAGCCCCGATGAATAGGTAACTCCGCTCAGCACTGGTCGGAGGGAAGAAAAAAGGAGGGGCTTGAGATGGAGTGATTGTGTCACTCACTGCTTTGATAAGTAAAAGTCTTTTGACAGCTTCCCCACAAAACTCAGTGTAATTATGAAGGCTCAATCCTGGGGTGAGTGGGGCAGGGACTGTTGTGTGACAAAAAAAGAAGTCTGTTCCACCTTAGATTCAAAAGAGGATGGTCCGGGGGAACCCCTGAAGCAGCAGGGTCCTTGCAGACAATGAGACCTCTGTTTGTACGCTCCCAAAGGCTATCTTTGACTCAAATAAGCCTGTATTTTTCAGTTATTGCTGGGACTTTTTTTTTTTTTTTCAGTTACTACAAGTCTGACAGATTATTTCAATCTGTGTCTTTTAGGATTGGGCTGTTTTAGTGGTTTATGGTGTACTCTAATCCAGATGACTCTCAAATCTCTGAAAGCAAAGTGTTATTTTCTAGGTATATAATTTGTTGGAGAAGAGACCCCACAGAGCTTAATATCCATCTAAACACACACACATATGTGCACACACACAGGCTCTCTCCTGGTTTCTGAAGAGGTTGACATGACTGAGTTCAGTGACACCCACTACTGAGGCACAGCCATCACCAGTCCCCATAAAACTCAGAACCTTCTCTCCCGCATGCAGCTGACCCTTCTTTCCCACACATATCCCACACATCGTGCCAGAACACAGCAGCGTAGGAGGTGATGCCATCACGGCTGGGGCCAGAGCAAGACCCCCGACAGTCTCAGCCCAGACAGGCAGCTGCTTAATGAAGCAGCCCAGCTCAAGGGAGAGAATGCCAGAGCCAAAGTTCGAGAAGCACTAAGAGATGGGGGAAGCCCTTCATGAAAACACTAGTGATGCTGACCCCTTTTAGATCACCTGTAAGAGGGCAACCACTGGGTATGTCTTGAGAATGAACATTTCATTTCCATTTCCATGGATGATCACAATCCAGAACTTGATTTCCACAACTTCCTTCTCCTGGAAAATGAACACTTCGCAAACATAATCTAGAAATGGAAATCAAAGAATAAAGAAAGCCTCGATATCCAGTACGGAAGGATGAAGATGAGGGGGATCCTGAATCACTGACATAGATGCACCAGTGACCAGGGTGGAGAGTCGGGGCCAAGGGCTCGGCGCCCACCTACCCCCACCCCTTGCTCCCCAGCTCCTACTGCTGCCCAGTTTTCATCCACTCACTCCTCCTGCCCCTTCCCCAGGTGAAAACCAGAATGGATTCTTTATGGGCACAGAATTTGATATAGTCATTCAGCACTAGAAAAACTTCCAATGTGAAGAAGCAGAAACTTAAAG